AATTCTAAAGCAGCAGAGCCCACAAAAAGACAGAGTGAAACAAATTTCCAGCCAAAGACAGCCTGGATGGTTGATCGGAAAGGTATATTGTGCCGGGTGGGGGAGAGGAGCGCAATTTAGCATGGGCTGCAGCGAACCTGGAACAGGCTTCAGAGGACTGAATCGCGGGCAGCTGTGGCAGTTTCCAGACTTCTTAACCCACGAACACCAAAGAGAACCTAGAAGGTCAGTGGGAAAAGTCTGTGACTGCAGTAAGAGAAGGAGCTAGGTCTCAGCCACCCCCAGGGCCACGGCTGTTTCCTGAGCTTCCAGCCCACAGACTGAGGGAGAATCAAGTGGATGATCAGAGGGGGATTGCAGGGATCTTTTTGCCAGTGCTGAGGCAGGAATCTCTTGCTTTACTGGTGCTTGGATCTGGGTCACAGATCTGAGGGGTGGTCCTGGGGCAAGAAGGAATGCTGGTGTGGTGGACCTTATTGTGGTGATAGAGAGGAAACACTTAGCCCCTTATCATACCACCTTGGCAGAACTGAAAATTTTCAGGTCCCTAAAAGTATCTCTGAAAACAGCTGTATAAACCCCCGAAGCTTGGGACAGTACATTCTCCACATTGGAGGCAGACTCTTACCTTAACAAAGAGTTTAAAACTCAAGTAATTGGTTGGGATCATGAGTAAGCAGCACAAAAAGAGTCAGACTATATTATCTTACTTTGGTGACAAAGAAGATCAAAACATACAACCAGAAGAAGACAACAAAGTCAAAGCTCCTACATCCAAAGCCTCCAAGAAGAATATGAATCAGTCCCAGGCCTTGGAAGAGCTCAAAAGGGATTTTGAGAAGCAAGTAAGAGAAGTAGAGGAAAAACTGAGTTTTGCAAGAAAATCATGAAAAACAAGTCAACAGCTTGCTAAAGGAGACCCAAAAAAATACTGAAGAAAATAACACCTTAAAAAATAGCCTAACCCAAATGGCAAAAGAGGTCCAAAAAGCCAATGAGGAGAAGAATGCCCTAAAAAGCACAATTGGCCAAATGGAAAAGGAAGCCCAAAAGATGACTGAAGAAAATACTTCCTTAAAAATTAGAATAGAGCAATTGGAAGCTAGTGACTTTATGAGAAATCAAGACACTGTAAAACAAATCTGAAAGAATGAAAAATTAGAAAACAATATGAAATACCTCATTGGAAAAACAACTGACCTGGAAAATAGATCCAGGAGAGAGAATTTAAAAATTATTGGACTATCTGAAAGCCATGATCAAAAAAAGAGCCTAGACATCATCTTTCAAGAAATTATCAAGGAAAACTGCCCTGATAATTTAGAACCAGAGGGCAAAATAGAAATGGAAAGAATCCACCGATCTCCTCCTGAAAGAGATCCCCAAAGGAAAACTCCTAGGAATATTGTAGCCAAATTCCAGAGTTCCCAGGTCAAGGAGAAAATATTACAAGCAGCCAGAAAGAAACAATTCAAGTATTGTGGAAATACAATCAGGATAACATAAGATCTAGCTGCTTCTACATTAAGGGACCACAGGGCATGGAATATAATATTCCAGAGGGCAAAGGAGATAGGATTACAACCAAGAATCACCTACCCAGAAAAACTGAGTATAATCCTGCAGGGGAAAAAATGGTCATTCAGTGAAATAGAGGACTTTCAAGCATTCTTGATGAAAAGACCAGAGCTGAATAGAAAATTTGATTTTCAAATACAAGACTCAAGTGGAACATGAAGAGGTAAACAAGAAAGAGAAAATCATAAGAGACTTATTATGGTTGAAATGTTTACATTCCTGCATGGAAAGATGATATTTGTAATTCATGAGACCTTTGTAAGTATTAGGGTAGTTGGAGGGGAAAAGTTATATGTATGTATATATAGATATAGATAGATGGATAGATAGATAGATGGATAGATAGATAGATAGATAGATAGATAGATAGATAGATAGATAGACAGACAGATAGATAGATAGATATAGGGCACAGGGTGAGTTGAAGATGAAGGGGTCATATCTGGAGAATAAAATTAAGGGGTGAGAGAGGATTATACTAGGAGAAAGAGAAAAGGAGAGGTAGAATGGGGTAAATTATCTCACAAAAAAAAACAGAAAAGAAAAGGCTCTCAGTGGAGGGAAAAGGAGGAAGGTGAGAGGGAATGAGGTAATCTAATTCTCATAGGATTTGACTTAAGGAGAGAATAACATACATACTCAATTGGGTATGGAAATCTGTCTTACCCTACAGGAAAATGGGGGGGAGGGGACAAGAGAGTAGGGGGATGATAGAGAGGAGGGCAGATTGGGAAAGAGGGTAATCAGAAGCAAGTACTTCTGAGGAGGGACAGAGTCAAAAGAAAGAATAGAATAAATGGGGGGCGGATAGGATTAAGGGAAATAGAGTTAGTTTTTCACAGCATGTCTACTATGGAAGTGTTTTGCATAACTGCACATATATAACCTATATTTAGTTGCTTGCCTTATCAATGAGGGTGGGTGGGGAGGGAGGAAGGGAGAAAATTTGGAACCCAAAGTTTTAAAAACACATGTTTAAAAAAAATGTTTTCACATGCAACTGGGAAATAAGAAATACAAGAAATGGGGTACAGAAATCCATCCTGCCCTATAGGAAAATTGAAGGGGAAAGGGATAAGAGAAGGGGGGAGAGATAGAAGGGAAGGCAGACTAGGGGAAGGGGTATTCAGAATGCATGCCATCTTGGGGAGGACAGGAGGGGCAAAATGCGGTGAAAATTTGGAACTCAAAATCTTGTGGAAGTAAATGTTGAAAACAAAAAAATTAATAAAAATTACCATAATAAAAAAAAAGAAAGAGCTGGTCATGTTGAATGAATGGGCATAAATGAGAAAAGTGAGGCTGCATAGTGAGAAGCTGCTCTCAACTCTTGCTTGCATACATTAAGTGGTCCCTGAATTATCCCATCCCTAAGAATCCTCCATTTTGCATCTCCATAAGATATCTCTTACCCCACCATGAAGAGGAAGGATTAAGGCTAATGTGAGTTGATATTTTGAAAACTCCTAATTAAAGGGTTAAGACTTCCAACTAATGGAATTCAGGGTAGCCGCATTCTTGTGAAATTCCTTCTCATGGCAATCAGAAATTCAACATTTTCTAAGCTACCCCGATTATACACTAGGGACTCTTGAACCACCACTTCAATTTGGGTTCAGATGCCGTCAAACTTGGCTCAATTCAGATGACTAAGCCCATGTAAGTGCTAATCAAAGGCTGACATTTCTAAGGAAAACAATAGGTCTATATGGACAATAACCCAGCCTGGGAAAAAAGTGGCTCTTGATTTGTTGCTTACAGGTTGTTATTTCTGATAACTGTAATAGCAGAGAAGATCTTTCCCCCACAGCTTAGAGAGAACCATTCGTGGACATTATGCTCTGACTTATTAAATCATCTTTGCCAAAACCATTCATTTGCCTTCTATCTCCCATGTGTGAAATGTCCAATAAGTTTCATAGGGCAGTCATTTGTCCCTAATTTCCTCGACGGCATCAGGCTTTGAAGCCATTGTGCTAAAACTTTAAGGTCATTAAATAACACATTAGATAATGCCTCCATTTTCTACCATTTCTTCACTTCCAAAATGATCTGTCTGGAGGCAGTGACTCAGTTCCTGAGGGTTAATAAATTATACCCCATCTCCAAGAACAGAAAAAATGATCTCAAGTGTCACTTGGTTTTGAGTAAATGTCTCAAATACAAAGATATTGCAAAAAACATAAACCCACAACTGGAGGGTTGCAAACAGTTTGGAGATGGATAGAGAAATGTTGTTGTTTAAATGCCTGTGGCATAAATGAATATTTCTCCCTACTTGTACTTTTTCTTCTCAGTCCCCCTCCCACACTAATCAGGCCGCTTGATTGCCCAGTAGATAGAGCACTGGGCCTGGAGTCAGGAAATTCAGTTCAGTTGTTTTTCAGCCCCGTCTGACTCTCTGTGAGCCAATTTGGGGTTTTCTTGGCAAAGATACTGGAGTAGTTTGCCATTTCCTTCTCCTGTTCATTTTACAGATGAGGAAACTGAGGCAAACTAGTTAAGCGACTTGGCCAGGGTCACACAGCTGGTACATGTCTGAGGCCAGATTTTAACTCAGGAAGTTGAGTCTTCCTGACTCCAAGCCCAGTGCTCTATCCACTCAGAAAGACCTCAGCTCAAATCTAATCTCAGACACTACTTCTGCTTGCCTCAGTTTCCTTATCTGTAAAGGAAGGTAATAATAGCACCCACCTTGTGAGAATTAAATGAGATAATAATTGTAAAGCACCTGGCACATAGCAAGCACTATGTAAATGTTAGCTATTATTAATCAACAAATAACAACCCAAAAAAAAACTATGTAAGCTATGTTCACGTGATCAATGGATTCAATTGAAATATGCAAGAGCACCTGTGAAGAAGAAAGAGCAGAAAAGGACATTTCCCTGGTTGGGACGGGACAAAGAGGGTCCAGAGAGATAAGTGACTTTCTTCATATCCCCCAGTAACTCAAAAACAATGTGCCTGACTCCTGGGAGTCTTTGGGGAGCCTCTTTTATCCCCAGAATATCTCTTAGGCTTACCTAAAAATAGGAAAAGAAGTGATTAGCATGCTAAAAAGAAAAATCCCAGAATTTAAGCCCAAAAATTTCCTTGCACCGTTCAAAATTCTGCAAAAGAGTTACATAGCAAAAGTAAAAAGCTGTATGTCCACTGTGGAAAATATCGAAGCTGAGGGTATAGAGTGGGGCAAGCTTGTCCACCTGGAAATGGGCCTCAAACTTACATCCATAAGCACACTGGGCTGACATTTCAGTTGATAATGACTACCAGATGGTATTAAGCAAAAATTTATAACATGTACCAGTTACTGAAAAATTACCCAGAAACCAATGCAGTGGGGTTTTTTTTGCTTTTTCATTAGGAATAAATGTCATAAACATATACATCCAATCCAACCAGAGTTCTCAATAGCATTAGAAATCTCATTGTACATAAATGTTGTTGATCTTGTTTCAAGAAATGATAGTTGGAGCTTCTACTAATGAAGGCTTTTGAAGAAAAGCATTTGGTCTCACTGTAATTGCCCTTGCTTGGCATCACCAATGGCACCCCACACATCAAAGATAAATTCATCTGGAAAGGCAAAGTCTCCAAGAGCCTCGTCCAGCGCTACGGCAAATTCATTTGGGTTCAACTTGTCCTTTCCGGCTTCAAATATTGTTGCAGCTGCCAAAAAAGGTGGGGGTTGGAGGGTGGGAGAAGAAAAGGAAAAACATTTTAAAGCATTCTTTGGAAAAATAAGCATCAAAGACTAAAAAAAAGACTGTGGCTTGGTCAATGTTACAATAAAACACAGGATTGCTTATTCCAATTATTTTGTTTTTATTATTATTTGGGATTATGGAGTATGAAGAGGACCTAAAGAAAAAAACTTCTTTTTTCCAATTGCAAAAACATTTAAGTAAGACAGAAGACATTGTAAATAACATAGTATTAGTTGTAAATAGGCAGCTAGACAGTCCAGTGGACAGCACTGGGATTGGAATCAGGAAGATTCATCTTGCTGAGTTCAAATCCAGCCTCACACATATACTAGTTGTGTGACCCTAGGTAAGTCACTTAACCCTCTTTGCCTCAGTTTCCTCATTTGTAAAATGAGCTGGAGAAAGAAATGACAAACCACACCAGTATCTTTGCCAAGAGGGTTCCAAATGGAGCCACGAAGAGTCAGACATGACTGAAAAACGACTCAACAACAAAAATAACGAGAATCCTACCCAGGTAACCAGATTCCCTAAAGTGACCCTGCTCTGCCACAAAACATCTCACCTGGGTCTCTGGTTGTCTCCCTTTGTAACACAGTCAGTTCTGCAGGATTAAGGACCAGTTTAGCAAACACTGGTCCAGAAGCCTGGGCCTAGCTCTGTTTTCATATTTTAATTGTTTTAAAAAGACTCTGAACTTAATAAACAATAAATAAAATGTGAGCTCTCTTTTTATAAGCTTATTTTTGTAGGCAACCGACAAGAGAGAGAAACTGGTATCCTTACCAATTATGCTGGCAATAAGTATTGCCTTCCTACACCACATATCAATTTCTATGTCTTCCTGTTTTGGTGACCAACAGTGTTGGTTTATATAATTCATTCACATACGCTGGCTTCAAATAAAGTGTGCTTCAGTTTTTGTCTGAGTTTTCCATTAAAAAAAAAAACAAAAAAAACGAGAATCGAGTAGCCTAATCCCTCCTAAGCAAATAGGAGAGATTTCATCTGCTGCCCCATGAGGGATAAAATGCTCTGGGATACTTATGAAGGAGCAGGAAGGTGAACACAAGGCAAGGAGAATCACTTCCCTTTCTTCTCTCAGCTGGAAGTCAACTGTGGAAAAAGTATCGGAGTTGCAGGGATTTAGGAGATTTCTAGGGATCTGAGAGACTTGTGGGGATTTGAGAGAACACCACGTTCCAATCTCACCTCAAATATTCACATAAGCTGTGTGACCTCACCTCTCAAAGCCTCAGTATATGTTTCTGTAAAAAGGGGTCAACAATACTAATACCACCCACTTCTCAAGGTTATTGTATGAGAAGAGCTTTGCAAAGCTTAAAGCAATCTACAAAAATACTCACTGTGGCTACTTAGCAGGTTTTGTTACAAATACTAACTGTGCTTTGGAAGAGTGTGGCTGAATCATAAGGAATGCTTTAATGTCATTCAGGAAAGATATGTCTCTCCACAGTCAGACTAAGATGAACAGAAAAAGGCTGTTTCTTAGAGGGTATTTCCAGACTGAGTGTTCAGGAGATACAAAGCCAATCTCTTGGGTTACGATTTGTCCACCATTCCCCACAATATGTCCCCTGCCCTCTTCTCTTTCTCTAGGTTTTCTCCTTTCCTCAAAGATCTCAGCCACCCTGATGAATTCCACAATTTTCTCTATGGGAATGATGCCCAAATCTCCATCTCTAACCCTCACTTCCTTCCCAGACTCCAGATCTGTATTCCCACATGGATTCTGGACATCTCAGTGGACGTGTGTTCAAATCATGCCTCTGACACTTGCCGCCCATATTGACATGGGCAGACTATCTGGCCACCTTGGATCCAGCCAAATGAAAGAGTTGGACCAGGTGACCTCTCAGGTCCCTTCTAGCTCATAAGCTATGAGCCTGAGATCCCAACCTGGATGTGATCAAAAGCAGCTCAATTCCCATTCAACAGAGCAACATATTTAAAGTCAGAGGTCCTCAGCTCCCTTCCTGTTCCACCACTTACTACCTCTGTGATCCTGGGCAAGTCACTGAATCTCTCTCAGCCTCAGTTTCCTCATCTGTAAAATGAATTGTGAAGACTTAAGAACTCTGATCAGTACAATGACCAGCCACAGTTCCAGAAGACTGATGATTGAGCAAGCCACCCCTCTACTGACAGAAAAGTGATGGACCCAAGACACAGACTAAAGCATGCATTTTCAGTTATGGGCGATATAAGAATTGATTTTGCTTGACTTTGTATATTTGTTACAAGGGCTTCGTTCTTTTGCATTCCAGTTGGCAGTGGAGTGGAGGAAAAAGAGAGATAAGGGTGAAGTAGCAAATTAAAAAAGAAAGAAAAGAGGACTACCAGAGCATCTTTAAAAAAAAAAAATTACACCTAAGAGAAGAGAAGGAAACACAAAGAGGACAGCTTTAAAAGTGATATGTTGAATTTGTAACACATTTTTTTAAAAAGCAGCTTGTATCCATTGAGATCTGGAGTTCCAGGTCTTTTTTTTTCTCTTCTATTGTGTTTATGGAAATGCCAATTTTATTTGATACTCAAAGGCAGAAGAAAAAAATGTAAATAAATAAAACTATTTAGATTTGATGGCCTCTAAGGTTTTCAACCCTAAATCGATGACCCCATGAACATTTATCAAGCTCCATGTGTCCAAAGGGAGCTCATCATTTCTCTTCTCTCCCTGCCAGACTAATTTTTGGGGTTTTCCCTTTTACATTTTTGCAGAAACTCCAACTTGAAACCCTGAGTCATCTTGACTTCTCCCTCGTCTTCACCCCCAACTCCAATCAGTCCCCAAGGCCTTTGGATTCCACCTCCACCATGTTTCTCCCTTCAGTCTCATTGCCAGAGCTCCAATGTGGGCTCTGGTTATCATCAGCCTGTGTGACCTCCCCATTCATCTATTCTGCTACCTGCCAGCCTGACAGCTCTGATCCTATCACTGCCTCACACAAATAAGGCCCATGGCATAGCCAATCTGATCCCAACCTACTTGTCTAGCCTTACCTTACCTTGTCTGCTCCCCAAGAAACCTGTGGATAGATAGATGTCAGGGACCCATGAACCTGGACAGGAAAAAATGCAGCTTTATTTTTACTAACCTCTAACTGAAATTTAGCACTGCCTACAATTTTGGATTCTTTTTAATTCTGAGAAAGGGTCTCATAGGTTTCTGGTGAAACCAGAACGACGAAAGGAATCTGTGATACACACACACACCAAAAAAAGGGTTAAAATTCCAAGGGACTCATGATGGAAAGTGCTGTCCACATCCAGAGAAAGAACTCTGAAGTCTGAATGCAGATCAAAGCAGACTATTTGCTGTCTTTTTTTGTTTTCTGTTTCTCATGGTTTTTCCCTTTTATTCTGATTCTTCTTTCACAACATGACTAATGTGGAAATATGTTTAATATGATTGTACTCGTAGAGCCTATATCAGATTGCGTGCCATCTTGGGGAGGGAGGTGGAATTTAGAACTCAAAATCTTCTAAAAGTGAATGTTGGAAACTAAAAATTAATTCATTAATTAATTTTAAAAGGGTTAAAAGGTCCTGTGTTCTGTGTCTGTCCTGGAGGAGGTTATACCTAGACCTGTAAGACACTTCAGAGGCTGCCTGGCCCAATCTCTCATTTTACCAATGGCAAAACTGAGGTTGAGAAACATGAAGGGACTTGCCCAAGGGCTCCTCGCTAATAAGGTTCAGACCAAGGACTACTCCCCCTCCCACAAATACATTCTCATGCTGAAGGAAGTTACCTACACGGTGCATACTACTGACTTAGTAGAAAACAACCAACTAGGTGGCACAGTGGATAGAGCGCTGGGCCTGGAGCCAGGAGGACCCGAGTTTGAATCCACAGATACTTTCTAGCTGTGTGACCCTGGGCAAGTCATTTAACCTCTGTCTGCCTCAGTTTCCTTAATCATAAAATGGAGATCATAACAGCACCTAGGGTTGTTGTGAGGATGAAATGAGGTAATAATTGTAAAGTACTTGCCACAGTACCTGCTATCTAGTAAATGCTATATAAATGTTGCTGTTATGCTTGTTGTTTAGTCCTTTTTCAGTCATGTCCAACCATTTGGGATTTTCTGGCAAAGATATCAGAAGTTTGCCATTTCCTTCTCCAGCTCATTTTACAGATGAGGAAACTGAGGCAAACAGGGTTAAATGACTTGTCCAGGGTCACACAGCTAGTGTTTCAGGTTGGATTTGAACTCAGGAAGATGAGTCTTCTTGACCCCAGGCCCAATGCTCTTTGCACTACGGTGCCACCTAGCAGCCCATGCAAATGTTAGCTACTTTTATTAGCTATTATTAAGTAGACAAACGATGAAGGACATAACCAAAGCAACCTTGGCACAAGAAATGGCACATGTGCACATTTTAAAAATTAAAATCCCTAAATCAATGGATGAGACCAAAGAAGAACCCAGAATAACTTGACTAATTCTAAGAAAGGAAGCCAGGGTTAGGGAAAATCTAGAAAGACACTGTGGAAGAAATGGAACAGTTACAGAATAACTGGCACGGGGTTCCTGATCAACCTAGAACAAGAATAAGGAGATCCTTAGCCTAGTCCTTGGCACATCTGCATACTCCAAAAAGGAGACTGGGAAACAATGTTTTTAAAATATTTAAAATGGACAATGTGTCATGTGATTTCTGGAATGTCCTTTCAAAGTTTCCACTGGAAAATACTGTATGCCAAGGAAAAAGAGGTGAGGTGAGAATTACTAAGCTGTTGAGTCAGACAGGGACACAAATGAATCATCTGAAACAAAAAACAAAAAAGACAATTCTTGTCTTCCTTATCGTTTTCATTCTGCTCAAAATTCATAGAATGACAGTGTTCAGTGAGAAGGGACCTCAATGGCCATCTCCTCCAACCCATTCCCAAAGAAGAATTCTCACTACCTTGTATTCAATAGTCATCCACTC